TAACCAACTATTCTTCAAATCAGTCTTCATCAGGCCATTATGGGACACTCAGCGTTCATTGCCCACCACCCACACTTGAGTCAGCTACTGAGGACCCCTCCGCTCCCCCAGCCCACCCTGCCTGACCAACAAGTTGGTCTAGAATCAGCAGTCTTCCTGGGGGTCATACAGGACAGTACGGCCACAAGGGCCTGCTGTAGAGACGCCTTGGAGCTATTGCTCAGCGCAAAGCATTAGCGGTACCCTTTTCACTCCATCCCAAATCCCTTACCTTCTGGATAACCTGAATCCAAAAGCTGGTGGTGACTCACCATGTCATTTAAGTTTGTCAGTCAATGGAAACCAGAGCTCCCAAGGCTCTGTCCAGGATTCTCCCTGGGGATGCTATTAGGCAGAAGGTAATCTTGCCAGATGTTGCTGTCCAGCTGGCCTAACTGGCTAGTGCAAGGGCATCTGCTTATACTCAGAGCCTGGCATGAGAAGACAGCCCTACAAGGGTTTTCAGTTTTCCTGTTGTTTGCCATCACAGCAAGCAGGCAAAGAAGTGGAACTGGCTACTAAGAAAGCCACAAGGAAACCGTCGAGCACCTTCAATCATCAACAGATAAAATGACCTTGAGCTTTCCCATTGCAACTGGTCCAGCCACACTTTGGGGCCCAACAGGCTGAATATTGTATAGTAGAAAACATGTTATATTTGAGAAGGTCAAACTTGCATTCCTATCCTAATCTGAACCTGAGCATGTGAACTTACACATTTTAATAAAGTTACTGACATTTGGTTTCTTCATTTGTAAAATAGAAAAGTCTAAAACAAAACTGTTCTTGCTCTGCCTAGCCCATATTTAGTTATAGAGCATATTAGATTATTTTGTAAACCACAAAAAAAAATGGCAGGCAATATTCTTTTTATTTTCGAATACTCGTGTCTACTCTCCAACCTCCTTTTGAAGCTCCAAGTTCACATTTCCAATTATCCTTCAGATCTTCCCAAAAGATTCACAGGGGTGTTAAGATACACACTGTGCCCTTTGAGCAGCTATTTGGCTCTTCACACGGTCAGAGAATGTGGTAGGTTTGTTCCTGCTGCAGAAGCCTTCTCCAGGGTGCCAAACATTGCTTCATAATAAACGGCATTCCCGAGTACTTATATATCTGGCCCTCAAATCAAGTTTATCTGAATAGGTACACATCATCTTTCAACATTGTGTTTCTAATGTGTTGTCTGTTCTGTCAGCGCTGATGGCATTTACATGTTACGTAGGATTAATGCAAAGACAACGTCCTCAACATTTCTCTACATCTCTCCCATTCAATTGACTATCACTTTTCTTTTCCTTTTTGCATTTCAGAGCCCCACAGTACCTAGCTTTAGTTCTGGGACCTTGAGGGACCCTCTTTATCAGATCAGTGCTTGGTGTTTTCATCTGTGAACTGAAACTATATTGTGAACAAGTATGTAGAATGAGACTATTCCCCAAAGTCACATTTTTTTTTGTCAGCTTAGTTCTACCTTCCAGCTAACCTAAACATTTCACTGGTGTCTAACAATGCCCATTTCTGTCCATTCCTACCGTCACATCTTCAACATCATTTTTCACTTTGCCTGGCGCTTGTCTTCCCACCCTCCCCCCGTATCTACCCATCAAATAATATGCCATCCTCATCAAGTGCTACCGATCTTCGGCATGTAAGAGTGTTGCTCATCTCCTTTGAACTCTAAAGGCTTTGTTTCACAACTGACGATGCTCTTGACATTAATACAAAGCACTCTACTTCTGTGTAAGGAATCTCGACTCTTGGACTTCTTATGTTTACCTTCCTTACACATCCTAAGTCACCAAAAGAAATGCTAACTATTCAATTCACCAATTGGCAGGGCCTGGACCTAGTACAAGGCAGTGAAAGTTGATTAATCATGATGGGATCATTTAACAACCAAATAAGACACCAAAGACACTTCACATTTCATGTGCTGATTTTTTAATGAACATTTTATAATCTTACAAAATAATTGGCTGTAGCTGTTTTACGGTACAATACAGTAGATCAGCTCCCTTCACTATGATTTCAACCACGCTGATGCACTCAATACTGATCACACGGAAGAGGGGAAGTGCCAAGTCCAACACCTTGCAATGGAGGAAAAGACAGGAGAGAATCAAGGAGACCTCTTTACTTTTTCCCTTGCTCATATCAGCCCATTTTCTTTATTTATTTCATCTTGTCTCTCTCTGATTGAAGGCTACTATGCTATTTCCTAGGATAAGCAGCTTTGGATAATCTGGACACCAGAACCACCAGCTACTAGGAAAAAAGGAAACGGAAGTGACACTGAAATGAGAAGACTGAGGCGTCTCTGTGAGAGGTTCTTGATGACTCTACTTATTACAAGCAGCACATCACAGACCCAGGAAGTGAGCATGAGTGGATACTCTGAGATCTGAATTATTCACCAGTCATGGGTTACACTAGGTCCAAAGGACAAGGTCTAGGAGAACCTGCCAGGGCTGCACCTGCCGCGGCTATCAGCCTCAGCACTTTTCTCACATCACCTTTTTTTGTGTGTCCAAGGGTGTTAGTGACTTGCAGATGCTTTCAACAGAAGACAGAGTATTTTTAAACCAAGTGTGCTGTAGACATGCTCTCACTGCTGCCCCTGTGAGGAGACTGGCAGAGACACACGGTGATGTAAACCATGAGCCCACTGTTTCGGTCTCTGAACCCGGCGATGACTTGGGTAGTTAATTCCCTGTCTCAGTCTCAGCAATGCAAGGATGTACAAGGCAGGTTTTAGATCCTTAAAGACTTCGAAGAATTCGGATTTGGTTTTTAACAGAACGATTTTAAAATGTATGTTTTGAATCTTATAAAGGAGAATCTCCACAGTTCCTCTGTGCTTACCATACTGAAGCCATCAAAACCTCAGAAATAGTATTAATTACCCTCCTGGGATCAATAAGTATGATTTCAGACAATGGATGATATCTAGGGTGCAATTTCTCTGGAAATATAGAGAACAAGATTTATTTGCACGGGCAAAATTTGCATTTTTTTCTTTTCCGAATGGCTTTGCTGCCATCATTCCATATACTTACAAATATTCATATATTGCCTTAATTTTATTTTTTACCATCCCACAATATTGTTCTTTCTTATATGATTGTAGAATTTTGGTATTAAATGAACATCATTTCCTCTTCCTGTTGGCAGAGCTATTTTGAAGAGCAAAAAGACTGACCAAACAAGATGACATGAATAGGTTATAGTTTGGCTCTAACTTTTGCCCATTCTTGACTTCCGTGGGAGAAGATACTGAGAAGAATAGACACCAAGCCCTTGCTAAGATGATAAGGCTTGCATTATAACAGAGACTGGATTACCACTGCCTCTGCCCCATTCTAATCCAGAACTGTTTTTGAAAAAAATGCAACTGCAAAAAGGCAGTGAGCCTGCGATGTAAGTAGAGGCAGGGTTAATGTGGCCATTCACAGGCAGTCTTATTAATCCATCGAATAAGAAAGAAGAATAAAGAAAATGAAATGAGCCCTACATAGCTGAAATTCTTCTTTCTTCCCACAGAGTGTCACCCTTGCTCCATGTGTTCCTGCACTTTGCTCAAATTGAAATCTGTGGGTCACAGATTTTATGCGCCACGCTTGAGTAGAATTTATCTCAGACTCTGTGTTGCTCAAAGAATCTACTAGGGCATTCTTTGTAGATTTGGAACAAGGAAGGGGCCGCTTTGCTTCTTTGCATTATCTTGCCACTGGCCCTGATTTAACTGTGACATCTCTTCACTTCATGTTTTCTTGATTCCGACATTCTAGCTTGCTCTCTTCTCACTTCTCATCTTACGCCTAACCACTTCCATGGTGATGTGGCTGTCATTGATGGTCAGGCCTGAACATTCTGACAAGGAATGAGACCAGAGCCAAAGCAGGAGAAGTGGGTGAGTTCCAGAGATGCTGGTGATGACAGAATGAACCTCAACAAGCTTGCTGACTGACTGCTTAGCTGAAAGCCCCATGTGGAACAGGCGCATATGAAAATGAACAAAAATCCTGGGTCATATCAATTCCATCCGAGAGTTCTGAGAATTGTAGAGAGTTAGTAAAACCTTTTTGGACAGATATTCAAAAACTGTAATCTAAAGCTATACCCATAAACAGCTACTCACATTTAATCTTGCATGCCTCTTAGTATTATCACCTCAATCCTCAAATCTTTTCAAATGGACAAGCTTCCAGTTCAGATAACATGGTTAGCTGACATGCTAGTATTCAGACTTTCTTGTTCTTTCTTCTTCCCCTCTCTCTCCTTCTCCATTTCTCATTTATCCCGCCAACCTCCATCAATGGAAAGCTGGTAGAAGAAATTGTCTTTCTGCCCCCAAAGCCTCAGCATTCCTTTTGGACCTGAACTTCACAGCAGCATGTGTAGAACAATGGAGACTTTTTAGCTTAGTAAACAGCATAAAATATAATATATAATATATTTATATAATTATGTTTAAATACGTATAAAGAATTGGTGACTAACCTCATTATGTAGGGGAGATTACACAAAAGAAAGGCGAAGAGCCAGTTTAGAGTAAGTGAGCCCTGAAAGACGACAATCCAGAAAGGGGGATTAGCACAGTGTCCCTGGCAACTGCTTTTCTAGTATTTGAGTTTTGGTTTACAAGTTGGAAGGAGATAAGTAGCTGGCAGTGTACAGAACGAGCAATAGAACAAGGGTTGAGGCTGAGGTGAGTACAATATAAATGGCAGAGGAGGATCCTTATCTGTCTATCCTATTTCCTCCTTCTGCTTTAAATCAATTGCCTTTTTAAAGAAGTATTTGCCTATAAATTCTTCCCTGTCTGGACTCCTTGGTGGACTGGTTGGCACCCATGGACATTCTGGCGTTTTGTATATGAGATTCTTCTCACTCTCCCTCCTTGGATTCATAACCTTTGTTTCCTCCAGGGAAGTGGAAGGAGGAGCTTCATGCCACAGTTACTGGTTTTCTTCCGCCTTGGGGTCTCGGCAGGTGCACTCATCCTGGTCACAGTCAGCAGCAAATGGGATGACCTAGGGGGATGAGAGAGAAGTGCAAAGAACATTACGTCTGTGCCAGTTTTCAATCACCTTTCACTTTTGCTTCTTGGTCCCTCAGGAAGTGTAAGACTAGATGCTAGAGCCACTCCAGCAATGAACACGCAGTTCTCTCACACGCCACAGTGCTGTAGGTGGGGTCATCCCTCTTGACCTTACATTTTTCTTTACTAAGTGGTGAGGGCAACAGAAACCAGAGGGTGTTTGTGTGGTTTCAGTTAGGCGGTTAAAAATCTATGAATGCATTATCAGGCACCGTTGCCATTACTTCTACCATTTACATCAATGTCTAAGACTATGGTTGTGATTTGTTTTTGTTGTTGCTGCTGCTATCTTTATGAAATCTTTGTAAAATAGAGAAGTCAGTGTTTGCATTGTCTCGTTACAGGACAGGCTAAGAAAGCTGAGGTAACTCAGCTCAGGCTAAAGCCAAGATTTATAAGAAGTCTGCAAAGAGTGTATAGAATGTATGGATGAGAAAAAAAAAGTGTGCGTGGATCTTAAAAACATTTTTGTACCAAAATAAGCTTATCTTTTAATCCCACTGTCTGGAAATTTTTTGAAGCATTCTTATATACACTAGTTGTGTAACCTCTACTCCTCAGGATTCTTGGGCAATAGGATCAATGTTGACATGATAAACACAAGGTTTTGCCTTTCTTAAGCCAGGAAATGCTCTGACTTGGTGAGACATTGCATCTTCCCGCCATTGTATGTGACTGTACTGCCTCACTTTTGTGAAATTATCCCTCTCCCATGCCAGAGAATGGTCCAGCAAAAAAAAAAAAAAAGGTGCTCTTTTCTGTGTGTACTTGTGTCAATACATAAGCATCACCATTTTGTGCCTGTAGCTATTGCTCCACCAGGGCAAAGAGTTTACCCTTTGGGCACAGAGAGTCACATGAGAATCAAATAAACAAGCCTATCACGTACATCGCCAATCCAAGTACACTGAAGCCATGGGCTTGGTTACTGTGCAAGCCGACTGGAGACTGGGTGGGGTTTTTCAGCAAAATTTTCATAATATTTGCATGTTTGAAGTAAAACAGAATTTAGGAGTCAATGAAGGGCTGAAGTGATTGTTGTGTATGTTGGCCACAGGCATAAAAATGCACTAAAGAAGGATCCTAGTTTAGCAGAAAATGAGATGCGGATCGTGACAGCATGCTTTCTTCCTAACCGATGCTGCCTTCCTTTGTGGAGAAGGGATCTTTGGCTAGTGACTTTGACAAGTGAGAGAAGAAACTAGCTGGCTTGATTTCTGATCCGCTGTCCAAGCGCTTGATCTGTTTCTCTTAGTTTAGAATTTATTGGTTTCGGAGTGAAACAGGGCCAAATGGAATAGCGATATGATAACCGCCTCAGTGCTCTGCATTCACTAATAGAATATTGCGAAGCACACAGGAAACAGTCGCAAAATATTAGTCATTCAGCAGCAATCTCAGTCTGCACATAGGCTATATGGATAGAAGTATCTCTAGGATAGAGATGCAAACAAAGAAGGAAATGACCCCTCACATAATTTTAATTCATCAGAATGGCTAACAAGCTTCAAAAAGTGTTTGAGCACCTGAATGTTTACCCATGACATTAAGGAGTTTCAGCCTATTCAGTTTTGCAGGTTTAGCTTGATATCCGCTGTTAGGAATTCCTGTTAGGAATGTGCATCCCTGAAGGGCCTCAAGGAAAGGATTACTACCCAGGATCTGGTTCAGGGAGTGTGTCATGTGGGCTTGCAATATATGCCTGCATTTTTCTTATTAAACATTATACATGCTTATTAATTGTGAAGATTAGTAATAATAAGACGATGCTTCATTGGTAATCCAGCCTCCCAATGACTAAAGACCATTATCTTTCCAGCTTTCAGAGGAGCTTCCTGGACTACAATAAACATACATGAACCTTTCGGAAGCAATGGACATTACTTTTATGGTGCAATTATGGGTCTTAAGGTCAGAGGACTGGAGTTTTCTAAGTATGAATGCTAAACATTACTCCCCTGAATTCTGTCACTTTGGAATCTCGTTTTAATTCCTCTTGACTCTTAGCCAAAGAACTCACCTTGATTCTTCCCTATCCCCCTCCAGGTGCCCTCACTTGCCTTCTTGGAAGAGAGAGTGGAAGAGCAGCAGTCTCCCCCGTCATAGTGGCAGTAGGCCCGGTTGTTGATGGTATCACACCAACCATCTGCTTGAAAAGGCTGTAAGAAGGTTGCAGGTCAGCGTCTCAGTGTGAGTCACCGAAGCTGTCTCTACTCTCCCAGACAGCCACAACCCAACAGAACCCATAACACTGCAGACGCAGAAAAATACCCCCAGAGTAGGCTAAACATTGACCTAACATTGTCAAGTTGATCTGTCAGTAAGACCAACGAGCCAAGAGGTGGTCACATTTTGCCTTAAGAACCTGTGTGAGGGCTATTTTTGAGATTGGAATGAACCATTAATTTTCTTGAGCCATTTTTTTTTGGCTTACAGTAGTAATAGGTCTTTGTATTATATAGTATACAAAATAAGCTTCCCACATTTTACTTATTCTGATCATATGAAAAGCCTACACCAGGAAGATAAGCCTTAAATTCTGACTTTATTAGAGAAGAATGGAAAATGTGTAGAGATGATGGGACTCCTCAGCCGGGTCACACAATCATAATGAGGCAGAGATTGGCATTCGTGTTTTGGACCTTGGCTTTTTGCTGCTTCTCATTTATTTCAAACCATAGCCTCTGCAACCTGGCCTCATGACAGGTACTTGGAAACTCAAATGATGTCTCCCCAGGGCACGGGGGTCCTTGACGTGAGAGCATGGGGTTGTGGAACAGAAACACTCCTATAATGCACGGTCCGCTGAGGCACAGCAGCGAGGAATAGGGTTAAAACAGAGAAAGGTAAATGGTCTCAATCCACTCCTGCTACTTCTTCAAGTTAACAGGAACCAAAATGGGAATGGGGTCCACTCCAAACCAGAGTTAATGGAGTGTTTCACCTCAAAAAGGAATGTGTGATAAGAACAGGAATAAGCGGTTAAAAAAGGGGTTCAACTGACCAATGCATTATTTTTTCACGGAATTATCTCTGGAGAGAAACCCATTACCCACAGCAAGCTGGAGTGTCCTTGGGATAGTTCACCTACACAATGGCATCAGTTACTTTCCATCCAGAGCTAATGCTCAACTGAAAGCCTCAAAAAACAGCCTGTGGTTGAACTCTGTGAGCTACGGAACTCTTGGATTTTAAGGCTACCTTCCAGCTTACATGATCACATCATTTTCTCTCTCTCCACCCTCCAAAAATGTCAAATAGATCGCTCCCTTCTTTGATGCGATAAATCACTTAACTCAAAAATATCCATTAAATAATTTTCAGCAATTGAGCTATGTCAGGATGAGCTCATCCAAATTATTACTTCAATGTTTTGATTTATTCTATGGGGTCCTGAGGTCATTTGAACATCATTCCAGATCTATACCAGTTTGCCAACCCCTGAAAAGCTGCTACTTGTGGAGTGGAACTCAACAGCTGTCGCACAGCTGCAGGGCAATGTCAGTTGAAAGCAGGAAGTGAAAATGAATTCTGTTTTCAACACAAGCTTCACTGGGATTAAAGACAAAGAGCCCGAGATGAGCATTTGTCTTTGATGCTTGAGTCAGTCCCTTTGGCTGGTGAGACTTTGGAATAACAGTACAGTCAAGACATAGTATTACTGCAAACAGATAATAAGTATCCTAATGCAGTGAGTGTATTATCAACATCCCTGGACACCCTCAGGTCTTCCCAGGAAGACCCCATACCTCTACTGCCATTCCAAAGAGTTTTATTTTTCCCTTTTTCTATTGTTGGAATAGGTCTCACTCATCTAACACTACATCTGTTACTCTTCCTCCAGCCCTGACTGACTCATTGGCAGAATGTAATCCGTTCCTTCTTTCTTCTCCATGGAATTGTCTATAAAAATCCAAAGAGCACCCAGAATACTTTTCCAACATATCTTCTGTTTCCCTGGAGAAATGAAGGTAGATCTGGAGACGCCTTCCCTTCCTTTCCATAAGAACAACCTACATACTTGAAGGATTCACTAAAGAATCCTAGAGAAGTTTTCTTTCCAAAATCTTCACCAAGCATGGCTTCTTCTCTGCACAACAGTAGAGAATGCCTGCTGAAAACAAGCAGCAACTGCCTAGGTGACCTTCTTCAACTTTCCCCGGACTTCACTGACATCTCACAACAGACTTCTAGAAACACCTTTTTTTTTTTAACTGTTCCTTAAAGGGTCATCTGGGAATTTAGTAAAAGGAGCAGAAATACAGAGAAAAGGTTGTAAATGTTCAAGTGTTTAATTTACTATACACCTATTAGAATTAATTGCTCCTCCCCCAACCTGCCAAAAACAACCACTCCACCCTCAACAAATAGAGTCTCCTATGGCAACATGTGCCTGGGAAGCTTGACAGTTTGAATCCAGAGTTACAATGGAAAAAAATAGGAGGGAGAAAATGACTAATTGATCCAAAGTTTAAAAGCTTGTGGAGACTGAATGCAGATGAGGCTGTTTAAATCTAAGTAAGGTGTCAGATCGGGACATTGCTGCCCTCCATGGACACAGCTTTTCATCACCTTTACATATGCTTCCCTTATCCCTTGGTATCAGAAAATGAAGCAATCCACACAAGACTATCTTTCAAATACCTTAAGTTTATCTCTTTGTCACTTTCATTTTCAAATCAATCATTTTGATGAAAGAAGAAAATCCTTATAAAAATGCCTGAATCCTTACCCCTTCTAATTAACAACACATAAAGAACAAAATCATTAACATGAATATTTATCATTTTCACTGCACAGGAAGGCTATTCCTTTTGCTAAAGGTGCCTTCTCCAACACACACACACACACACACACACACACACACACACACACACACACACACACGACATCAGGTCAAGCACTTTCAGTTATATCTGAAGTAAACACAGTTTGGAGAGAGCCTGGGTTGCCCTCCCTATGGCAATGCTAGCTGTGACAGGAATGCTTTTCCTGCCATTGTTACAGGAAGGTTTTTCTTGCTAGCTTCCTGATGTTTGCACTGCTCCAGGAAGATGAGGTGAACAAATAAATGTCCATATAGGAATGATTGAAAGCTTAGAGCAAATGCTGTCTATTTACCTTTTTATATTACCTTGGAAATGTCCCAAAAGTAAATGTGATTTCTTCTTTATGTTTCATAGTCCATGCTATGTTCTGTTTTAAGATGGTTCTGGCCATACAGATGGTGGCCCTATCTGTTGTTTGTGGGTGTAGTCATCCATTTAATCACCAGCATTCTTGACTCCATCTTCAGATGTGCCAAGTGTTGTTACGAAGACAAATCAAACATGGTTTCAGAGTTTCAGGGAATCCACTCTAAGTGAAAGCTCAACACCAGATCAGAGAAGGACAGGAGAAAGTGACCTGATCCAAATGCCAGCAGTGGGGGGGCCTGCCGGTGGGGAGTCCAGTCTGCTCCCTGTAAGCCCCTCTGGAGAAGGCCTTTTCATAGGCTGATTCTGAGTGCAAAGGGAGTTCTAAAACACTGAGGGGGAGAAAAGAACAAAACTTATGCAGGAGGGTGGCCCAGACTGCCTGTTGGAGAACTGGCCTGAGGGAGAGTGCCACCCACTCCGAGTGATCAGCTAAAGCCTCCTAATGAATCATATTGACAGCATTTTATCCTGCAGTCTACAACGGAATTCAAGATCATACTAGTATTTCCGAAAGGTTAGCTTGAACTTCCTGCCAGCAGCTCTGTTGTCCTGTAGCGTGGGATCCCAAGCAAAAGGACTAGAGCTCTCTAGACAGTCATGGGGAAGAGTCCCGTGGGTTGTTTTTTTTTTTTTTTTAAGGAGTGTTTTAGACGAGCAGAGACTCATAAAATCTTCACATGATACCAAATGGCTTTTCTCTTCCATCATTTCTGAATAGCCTTTCCAGCTATGGGAATGCAGTCGCACCTATAACCATGTCCTCATATTGGTTAGATTACACCAACCTCCAAAGTGGCCTTGTCTCAGAACAGCTGTGATGCAGCATCTAGGGAGTTCTTGCAACAGAAGGAAACTCTGTGTGGATATACAAATAAGTGCGCCGATCACATCTCTTTCTTTTCTCTGACTTGTCAATGCATGGTGAACTCTGGCTTAGTAGCTATTCCCTTCAATCCATTATTTCGCTGATTGTATTCATCCTACCTGGCTTCACACTCAAAGACTGCGAAGAACATAAGTGGAGCCTCTCTTAGCATTTCAAGGTGGAATTCGGGAGGCCTTCGAGCTCCTTGAAGGGAACCCAGTGGGAAGAAGACTAGGGGAAGTCTATGCGAGGTTCATAGATAAGGGACAGTAGGAGAAAACCATGCATCAATTTTGATTCCTTTGAACAAATATCAAGTTACACTTTAATCATATTTTATAAATTTAAAAAATATTTCTGTCTTGAAAGGCATATATATATAATATGTGCATGCATACATATATACATACATATACACACATATAAAGAGAGCACACATATGCAGATACATGTGTTTATATGTATCTAAACACACACATGTGTGTATATATATATATATGTGTGTGCGTGTGTGTGTATACAAAAGGAGAGGAGCATAGGATTAAGCCTTTAGGTGCATGTGGGTTTTCCACATGGGAGGCAAGGATTGAAATTCTTGGACAATCAGAGAGGAGATGAGGACAGGGAGAGAGGAGAGGATCATATGACTAAGCCAGGATGTTCATATGGATTTTCCACGTGGGAGGCAAGGACCTAAACACTTGGACCCTCTTTCACTGCTTCTCTCCGGCCATTGATGGAGAGATGAATTGTAAGTGGAGTAGCCAGGACATGAGCCAAAGCCTATATCTGATGTTGGCATTGCAGCAGGAGGCTTTCTCCATCTCGCCAGAAATCCAACCCATGAAATATCTTCATGTTTATCAAAAAGATGAAAGATAAATGATGGAGAAAAGGGAATCGTTAAACACTGTTGATGAGAATACACTATGGAAGGTCCTCAAAAATTAACAGGAGAACAGCCAGGAGACCCAGAAATCCCAATATGAGATAGATAGGTAGATACATAGATAGATAGATAGATAGATAGATAGATAAATTTTTTAAATTTCTAAAGGAGCCGAGATACATGAAATTTTAAGGCTCCATTAAATCT